CCCCCCCCAAAAAAAAAGAAGAGAAAGTAGTTTCCCCACATGGCATTCTGGGTAAGTATCTGAAGCACAGCCGCACGGAGACACCGCTCGTAAAATCACAAAGTGTGATGACAACGTTAAAGAGGACGCTGTGGAGCAGAGGTCAAAGGTGACGCGGGCTGTGATGCTGCAGCTACAGCATCAACTCTGACTGTTTCTACAGGAGTTTTTTTTTTTTACTGGAGCTGCCGTCACAAAAAAAAATCATGTTTATATTTGTACACAGTCAAAAAGTTCTAAGACGGGTTTCATCACATCAAACTCAAAAACAACTTATGAAAACAAACTTAAAAGTGAATGTAAAACAGTTCAATTAATGAAAACTTTGCTACAGCTTTGGACAAAGCAGTGTGTGATTTTTTTTACAAAATTTCTTACTTGATTTCTTAGCCAAAGACGAGGCCGAGAGCAAAGTTTTTACCCAAAGTCAGAGACCAAACACCACAGCAGAGGAGCGTAAAATCACACAGTTATGCAAAGATAAAGTGTTCATTATTTTTCATAAATAAAGTCAAAACCATCCGTTCCAAATCTGACTCCTAACCACATGAACCACTGCTGGACTTCCCTCCTTCTTTTTTTTTGTCTCCTTTTCTCAGGAGCTTTTCATTTTTCACACTACACTTTCATATTTGATCATGACGTAGACGTGATGTCTCGTTTCAGAAGCATCTTTAACGTGATTTATCGGGAGAACGGAGACACTGGTCTCTGATGGCAGACGAGTGTGAAAAAAAAAATCAGTTTTCACCGTCAACTGAACCGTTCATCATTCTGAGACGTGGAGCAAAAACTGACGGAGAGCAGAAGAAAAAAAGAAGAAAAAAAAAAAGGAAATATGTAGAAGAAGTTCCGAGCACAAAAGCACAAGAGGTGAACGTTAGCGTTGAAATGTAGTCAAAGACATTTTAATTAACAATTAATCCTAATTAATGATTCTGTTTCCATCTGTTCTTATGTCTCTGTCCAAGTTTAGCATTTAGCAATTTTTGAAACGTGTCTTTCAGTGATTAGTAGTTTTTAGTTTAAATTTGACAATATACCAAGATACTGTAGTATTTTACATACTGGTGTATAAAGTATATTCTCAATATACTTTATATTATCCTGGTGTGAATGTGAATTTAATTCCAGTAAAAAAAATAATTGATTTGAGACTAAGTACCTGTGGCAGGCTACTTCTTATTTTTATAAATATAAAATGTATCCATCTACTGGGTACATTTAGTGGGAAAAGAAAAATCCTACATACTTGATTTGTGTTTTTTTATTAGCTATTTATTTGAAGGAAAATCCCTCTAATCCATATTTTCCTCTCCATCTCAGTGAATTATAATGGAATCTGTTTGGTCGGGTTTTTTTATATATAAATTTGCACCAGCAACTCTCCTGGCCCGGGGAGGTACAGCTACATTCACAGCACCTCCTGCAGGAGTCGAGGACGGTTTGGCCAACACCGAGACTCGGCTGTTTTCAAACACAAATATACTTCTGCTGAGCCTGTTACCCAAACTTTCCGAGACACAGATCAACACAACCTTAAATCCCTTTTACTCACCTAGAAATAGACCTGTCAACTTGCCACCGCTCCCTTATCGTCTAACTGCTAACAAGCCTATTTGCCTGTGACTGACGTTGATGCGATCCCTAAAGCCCCGGACTTGGCACCAGATCGCTCCTAAGCCAAATTAAGCNCTCCCCCACCACCTCCTCCCCCTCCTCCTCCAGCCTGGTGTTACCCCTGCCATGGGAACCCTAAATCTTTAATGACGATGGAGAGCTCTGCGCGCTCCCACGGCACAAAAAGCGATGACATCTGTCTGTGGAAGTGCTGCACTCCAGAGCAGCCCCATTTGTTCTATCTCCACTGCTTGAAAAGAAATTAAATATAAAAGTTGAGGGAGGGTGGAGGCTGCTCCAGGAGGAAGGAGGAGGTGGAGCTGAGGAGGTTAAAACAAAGATTCTTTTCTTACCAAGTCTTATTCCCCTGCCCAGTGGTCATAGAAGGTGTTAAAAGAGTCTTAGCTACGCTTCTTGGCTACGACCCACCTGCTCACACCACTGCATTCAAGTCAGTGGGCATGTAAAAAGTCAAACACCTACTTCTCAGTGACTGCATCACTGCCCGAATGTCTTTGAGCCATTGAGCAGGGCACACAAGGGAATTATTTTACTAGGCTGAACACATTCTGATGTTGGACCAACCACCAAGCAAACACTGTGGACTGTTGACGACTGCACGTTATAAAATATAAAAAGCTGAAAAAGGCTGTATATATCACATGACGACAACAATAACAAACAAAACACTGAATGAATTTTGGTAAAATTAAAAGCCGTCTCAGTAAATATTGCACTCAAAATACATTACATTAATATTCTAATTTAATTTATTGTATTCCCCTTTGTTTTTGATATATAAATATTTAATATTGTTCTCTATATTATTAAAAACGCAAATAAAATGAAGCAACTCATGCAAAGAATGTATTTAAACTGTGCCATTTAGTATTATTGTGCATATTGCATCGAGTAGACCTCCCAATGCCTGTGTAACAATGTATTGTATAACTATAAATACATTAAAATATATATATTAAAAGATGCATAGCATTATAAGTTCAGTCTCAGCCGAAATTGGATTGAGACGCAATGTACAGCAATTGAAGAAAAACAGATGCGAATGGAATGAAAACAGTGTAAAACATCCATCAAAATAAAAGAAAACACATTTTCAAAGTCACTTCAATTTCCCGTTCAGAAACACAACGTTATCTTATAATAAAACTATATATTTTAGCTGGAATAAAGAAAAACATTTGTACTCACGTTGCATTTTGAACAGGCACTGTGGCGGTCACCTCCTTCTTTTCGACTGGGGTCCTTTATGTTGTTCCAGAAAGATGGCGGCGTCCATGTTATGCAGGAGGACGGCTGCTCTATGTGGCAGTTTTAAGAAAGTTCCAAGTCCTTGCTGTGGGGTTTTGCTACAAACAGCTTCCTACAACCCCAAACCATTGTGGTTAAACATCACTAAGCCGTACATCCCGGATAGAGACAGTGAAAAGACGCCGGAGTGGCAGAAAACGGCCCATTACGACGCGAAGCTCTACGGCCGCTACGGTTCAGCGTCGGGCGTTGACCCCACGAAGCTGTGGCCTAGCCATGGACGGCTGGAGAAAATCATCGCAGAAGAGACAGAATGGCAGCCTACGTTAGAGACGATGTTGGAGAATATACAATTGAAGGAAAAGGAACTGGCGAAGAAACGGCTTGAAAAGTAAGTCGTGCTAACGAGGCTAATATCAGCGCGGACTGACGGCCTGTTAAAATGTGTCCTAATCTGTAAGGTGTCACTGATTAACACCAGCTGGTTTAATCCACACAATGTCACAGAACTTGTAGATGTTTCAGAGGGAAGGCATTCAGTTTATTTACATTTTATTTTACATGGCAAGTCAGAATGAAACTAGTCCTCAAATATTTACTGTACTGTAAAATAAAGGATTCGTTTTATATATTTATAGAAGTATATATTTAAAGTAGTGGTGGTATTAATGGTGTGTACTACACAAAAAATTGATGGATAAATTGACAATAGGTTGACGTGCAAACTAAGCGTTAACATATTGAATCACTTGGATATTACTTGCCCATAAAAGGCGTGTTTGATTTTTTTCTCTTCAAGTTATTAAAGGATTCGTTTTATATATTTATAGAACTTAAATGAGTAGTAGTCTAAAAGGCGTGTTTGATTTTTTTTCTCTTCAAGTTAGTTTTTAATAAACATTTAAAATAAAATAAAAAAATATTTTAAATGTTTATCAAAAACACTTTCATTAATTGTGGGTTTAAAAACACAATACCACTTCATATATAAAATATAATCATATTACAGTATCAGCACAGTTACTGAAACTGGCTTATGTTTAGTGATTGAATAATTATTGTCCAGATACAGTTTTTCCTTTAAACATTGGAACCAATATTTGTAGGTAATCATATTCAGTTTGAATAAAAGCTTGATTAACTTTTTTATATTGACTGAATAGTGGATGTTTTACTTACTATTCCATTAAATAGCTTTTATTAATAACCAAAAACCTGAATTAAACACACACACCCCCACCCCCCCATTTTCTTCGCAGAGAAAGAATCATAGCAGCAAACATGGCCAACATGCCCAAGATGGTCGCTGACTGGAGGAGAGAAAAGCGTGAAGCCAAAAGGAAGCTGAAGGAGGAGAAGGCTCGTCGTGATTCGCTGCTTGCTCAGGCCAGAGAGAGGTTTGGTTACGCAGTGGACCCCCGCAGCATCAAGTTCAAAGAAATGGTTAAAGAGATAGAGAAGGAGGAGAAGAAAAAGAAGAAGATGATGAAACGCCGGCTGAAGGAGGAGCAGATGGCCATCCCTGTTATACCTCCTGCTGCAACATCCACCCCTGCCACCTCCTAGTCTCTTACACAAATATAAGGGTTGGACTTTGCTCACACACTGAGCTGGACATGATCTGGTGAAGACGGACCACCAGTGGACTTTAAATGTACTGGACTTTGTTTGTCAGTCCTGTTTTTTTGCATATTGTAAAAAGACCCATTCATTTGTCAAATAAATTAATGCCCCGATATTTGTCTCAAAAAATAAATAAACAACTTACAATTTGTTTGAAAAGTTAAATTAATGCCCCGATATTTGTCTCAAGAAATAAATAAACAACTTACAATTTGATTGAAAAGTATAAGAATTACCATGTGTTCAAGGCCAAAAGGAGTTTTCTGGAATCTGGAATAAAATTGAGTTCAGTGTCAATGCTGATTAGAACGAATGATGGAACAAGAGAGATTCATTAAGGTATAGGCCTTGACCTTTGACCTCAGGAATTCACTTTTTGTAAGTGTATATATGTATATATATTAACACAAGTATTTATTTAATTATGTAACCTTGTGGTGTAAAGACCAGATTCAGAGTGGAAATACTCCATGTCGATTCACTAAAATTTATTTAAGTTGTCGTTCATTGTGACTATCAGTTGACAGATAATAGTTAAAGATAAAATAGTGTTCTTCTGATTCCAGGTCACTAAAAACATTGTCCGTAAAACTATTTGTCAACACTATATACAATCAAGTCTGTGAAAACTGAAGGAAGACAGTGAAGGACCAGTGGTTTGATCTCTGGTTAAAAGTGTCCACGCTCGTACGTTTATCCTGACAGCGGTTCCTGTAAACACATGCATTTATCAGCATCAGAAAAGAGGAAACGCTTTTTTGTTCACACGTTGATTAAAGGTCAGACTCCTCCTCCTCCAGGAGCTGGGAGCAGAGTCTCTGCAGTGATGCAGAACTGTCTCCTCACAGGTGGGTGTCGTCCTCCTCTCCAGGGTCGGCCTTCAGTTTGGCCAGAGCAGCGTGAACCCTGAAATGGATACGTGACTCCATGGAGTAATCTTTGTAGTTTTGTCTACAAGGAAAAGTGCAAGAAGTCAGACAGAAGTCAGGTAGTATTTATTTACACAAATGAGAAATAAATGACAATAATTGTTTAATAAGATGGAGAGAATGTAGTAAAAAAATAACTCAAAATTAATTTAAGTGAGAAAGAATGGCCACTTTAAATACAGCTAGGGCTTACATTAACAGGTCAACAGTGCCCTCTACTGTTCGTTTGACACAATATCAGCTTTTGGGGGAAACAAACATGCAAAATTAAACTTGTTTAAATTAAAAAAGTTTAAATACGTACTTGGCCTTGCGCAGCAGTTTGATGGCCTCATCTCTCCTGCCCTGATCGATGTAGAGCAGACCGAGTTCCACCAGAGAGTTGGGAACCAGGTAGTGATCAAACTTTATCTTCTTTTCACTAAACACACAGAATAATAAATAAATTACATATAATAACATTTACACAGATAAATAAATGTAAACATCAGTCCATGATTTAATTAAGTCCGTAAAAGTCAACTAATAATAAGACAAAACATGGCGGGGATGAAATCCAATCAGGGCTGATTTCGTCATCTAAACTTGTCGAGAAAGCGAGGACAACAGCCAATCAGAGCCCCGTTTGTTGCCTACAAGGCGGGACATGTAAACCGAGATCCAATCACAGTGAATGTGTTTCCGGAAGTAGAATAAACCGAACACGGAAGCCGCGAGTTAACTGATAATACTCCATCTGATAATGCTGCTCACGTCAAAGTTACCGCTAGAGTCTAGCGGCTGAGTTAGCCGCTAGAGTCCGGGTTCAAAGTTCTCCTCAACAGTCCCTGTTCGTTCTTGTTTAATTCAAACTAACATTTTCCGCCTTTCCGTCTCGTCCTCTCTCCTCAACTGTCCGTACCGAAACACTTAAATAGCGTTCCGGCCAATTTCTAACCCCGTGAATGTTGGTTCCGACACTTTTCACAGATACATATATTTTAAATAAAACAATAAACATACATAATATACAATTTTAAATTTCTTTAAAAAAATTATATAACATTTCAAATGAATTTCAACCTTTCTACACACTTGGATAAATGCGTGGTTTAAGATTTTTAACCGGGTTACCATAAATAATGAAATACTTTCAATAAAATGTCATAATGTTTTATAAACAGTGTTCAGTTAATGTCATTAATCAACCTATTACACCTTATAATTTAGCAGCCATCTAACTTAAAATAAGTCGACTAGGTTACCATAAATAATGAAATACTTTCATCGACTT